AAAAAAAAAAAAAAAAAAAAAGAGGGAAAAAACCAAATTTCTGGCGGTTTGGCAGCGCGCCAATGACGCCGAAATTTTGAAATTCCATATTTTGTATACGCCGTTCCAAAGGTCGCTTGAGCAAAGTGTTTTTTGCTCGCTATTCCTTGTTCACTAATTTTTAGCTCAGTTTGTCATGAACAGTTTTCGATTTATTTCCAAATTACAGCTTTCTGAATCCAATTTTTCTACGTGTGGGTTGTTTTATTTTATTCGTGATCTACAGTGTTTGAAATTTCAAAAGGTTAATTGTAGATGGCATCGGTAAAAACGAAAATCTACATGGTTTTTGGAATAGTTTATCACATTTCTGTCGAGAGAGAACTTGCTTAATAGAACACACTAGAAAAAGAGCTGCACTTTTTGGAGTCTCAAATGGGTCATACTTTTGAAGAAATTGCTACTTCTTTTTCGTACTTATTGTTGTTGTTGTCAGTATTATCGTTGATTTTCATTATAGTTATTATTATTGCTATTGTTGATATTGTTATTTCATTGCAGTTGTCATTGCTGTTGCTATATCCAGCAGTTATTTTTCTAGATGGTTAATTATCTTCAAAGTACCATTCAGTGTGAAATTTTGCTATCAGATTTGAAAGACTTTTTGGGAGCCTGAAGAATGCTCTTTGTGAAGTTTGAAACTTAGGATGCAGAGTGGAAACTTTCTGCTATTAAGTTAAGGGTCGTTCAAAATACCATTTCTACGTGAGTTTCGTGGAGGAAATATTGGAAGTTATAATGAAGGTGCTTGAACATTTTCTGAGGGAATTCTGAGAATGGTTAGGGAGAATGGGCTGTGCCGTTGAGGGCTTTTTAGTAAAAAAGTGCGGCAGAATTTTTGCTTCAAAGAGTGGAAAGTCAGAAAAGATTGAAAGATAGTTTTAGACAGCCATAACTATCTATAAAGCGCTGCAGGAGGTGTTCCCATACTGTCCTTTATTCATGCTAAAAAGTTCGCCATGAAATGCAGTTTTGTATTTTGCCTAAATAGTTCTCTACATACGCTTTTTTTTGAACCAGTTCCTAAAGCTTCTTGGTATTGTTTTTTCTCCTTGCTTGTGAAGCTAACGATTTCAGGCGTCCAGATGGCAGTGTCATTGTGAGAACAGTCGATTCTGCTTTGTTTTTGTTAGGAACCAAATAGGAAATTGAAAATATTGCATTAAGAAGTACAATACTTTTTTATGTATAGTTCATTCATTTTTGGGTCTTGAAATGAAGACTAATCAGCTCTATAAACTTCTGAACTCGGAAACTTTCATAATTTTCTGTATATTTTGTTTTGTTTTGTATTTTTTAAAATAGGCTCTTCACAGATTCCTATGGGAATGTTCTACCAGATAAATATGTCTGATAATTCTATTTAATGCTTAATAAATACTAGCTCGTAAGTAGAGCCAGTGAATGTACGGAAAGTTCTAACTACTTGTGAATGTCGAAGAACGTAAGAAGTCAAGCTTTACAGTTTTCCCACTGAGATGTTTGTCTGTCTGGTGTGATTTTGTGTAAGTCCATTCCGTTTTAGCTCTACGGAAAGTTAAAATAAAAATTTGTTGGCGGGATGGAAGATTTTGTTTCAATCAGTGTTTTCTACAAGGGTCCTTTTGCGTGATCGCTTTTATATATGAAACTTTACGCTAAAAGATTTGCACATTAAGCTTGCTTAGCAGTAAGTGTTTTTCTTTTCAGGACTCTTTGCCTAACCTGGTATTTCTTTCTCTAACTGCTGAAAGATCATGTTTTATGCACAGTTTGTTCTTTCAAAGAAGGGGCCTTTAGCCAAAATTTGGCTTGCTGCTCATTGGGAAAAGAAGTTGTCGAAGGCGCAGATTTACGAAACGAACGTCCAAGATGCAGTTGACGAAATCCTTAAACCTAAGGTAATGAAGTTAAGGCATCATTTTTAGCTTGTTTTATGAGTTAATCTTGTGAATGAGGCTCTGCCTTATAAATAAAGGAAGATGTTTATCTCTCTCGGTTGGTTATTAATTTTTTATTTGTAGGTCAAGATGGCGCTGCGGACAACAGGTCATCTGCTTTTAGGGATAGTTCGTATTTATTCGCGCAAGGCGAAGTATCTCCTAGCAGATTGCAACGAAGCATTTCTCAAACTAAAAATGGCATTTCGTCCGGGTCAAGCCGATATTAGTGAAGATGGACATCAGATGGATAGCAGTGCCATTAATTTGCCTGAGGTGATCGATTTCTAAATTATTTTGTTGTTTTTAAAAATTTACTTTACTGCTTATTTATTTGTTTTTTTTCATTACATTTGTGTTAATATAATATTCGTTTACGGTGACATAGTAATTCTGCCATTGTTTTATTTATTTACTTTTACTTTTTTTGAAGCACTTTATCTTCCTTGACTTTTTTAATAAGCAAGTTTAAGGTGTTCCATGATTTTGATGCCGCTCTACCAGATTTCAATGAACTTGATTTTGACAGTCATATGCACATAAATCAAAGTCGTATAGATGACATTACATTGAAAGAGGATGTCATTCCTGAGTCTAGCGACATGGGATTTGGGGGAGATTTCGGTGTAAGTTTTTGCTTTAGATTGGTAAC